TCACACAAGTTTGGTCACTCGCCAAAAGCTTTTACAGCTTGAATGGGATACAATGCTACACCCACCATATTCTCCAGACCTGGCACCATCGGATTATTATTTGTTCCGGTCACTCCAAAATTTTTTAGACGGTAAAACCTTCACCTCAAATGAGGAGGTCAAAAACCTCCTCGATCAGTTTTTTGCCAGCAAAGACCAAAAATTTTATGAGCGTGGAATTATGCTACTACCAGAAAGATGGCAAAAGGTGTTGGACCAGAACGGTCAATATATAATTTAATAAAGTATTTGTTTATTATACGAAAACTGTCTTTCATTTCCACAACAAAAAAGGAAATGACTTTCCGAACAACCCTATACTCTATCCCACCAATTTTGTTGCTCAGAAAAAAATAAATAAGTAATGTCTGGTGGCAGCCCGCATGCCAAACTGTAAATTACGTAAGGGAAAGCATTTTGTATTTCATGCAACAAATTTTTAAGTCATTCTTCTTATAGGGGATCCCATCAAAACTGTCAAAATTTAAAAATTATAAACTATCTACATGGAAATCATCTAAAAGCGAACGTTTCTCCAGTAATAGTTGTTATAAATGTATTTGTTAAAAAATATTAGATTTAAACGATTCACAAAAGACGCAAATTTATTATTATCAAACATAAATTGTCTTGTCTTGTCGTTAAACAAGCAACATCACATCTATTATATCAAGCAAACAACATTTAAAAGCCATTAGTGTGCTATTCAATGATATCATGAACATCAATTTCAAATACGATCATAATATGCCATATATATATAGGAATATAATATAGTCAAGAGCAAATACAAAAACAACGTGATTCTATTTATAATAATCCCAACATATTTATACAAAAAATACCTACCATTTTGAGAGATATTCAAAGCCTTATTCAAATAATTTAGGATAAAAGTCGTTTCAAACTAGGTGTACACGTGCTTAGCAAAAGAATCAAATGAACTGCTTATATGCAAATACAAAAACTACCGAAAGAAATAACAATATTATAATAGTCGACGCTTTTTAATGCTAATTATGTATTGAGCAATTTAAAGCAATTGTTCACTATTTTCAATTTTTGAACAATATTATCACATATGTATAATGTTCTAATTTTATCGTTAATCTGAAACAATTTTTCCCGGAAACAAATAATAAGTGATAAATTAAAGTGCATTAACTTTTACCCCAACAGATATGTAACCTCAAATTAATAAGGAAAAATTGCTATCTGTAATGGTAAAGATTCAGAAATTAGTTCAGTGTAATGTATTAAAATAAACTTTACAAAATTCTTCTAAATGTCTCAGGGTAAATACTTAATTAGGTATATTAGAAAATGAAAAGTCACCCTAAACTGAGAATAATACCTACTAAATGTAATATTAAAAATTTCACATAGGTACTACTGATACGTAGGTATACGTTTACTTAGAATTGAGTTAAAATTAAAATAATTAAAACTAAAATAGTATTAAAGAGACATGAATAAACATTAAAAAAAATCCAATCTTTTATTTCTCACTTTTAAAAGAGAAGATGCATTATCAAGAAACAACATTCCACTTTAAAGAATATTTGTCCACTCTAAAATATATTAACGCACTGCCTAAAAATGGTCTGCACGAACGATAGGTACCTATGATCAATGAGCGAATTACTATTGTACAGTGAGTGGAACGTGAACGTAACACGGCAAATTAATAATGTTGGCAGTCTGGAACTACTAGATATTTCTATTAGACTGCCAACGTGTGACTTTCAACCTTTGATGGTATGACGTGTAGGTATGCTAATGAATTAATGCCTTCAATTCGCAATCGAATGGATCTAAATCTGACAGCGGGATTGTACCGTTGCAATGTAGAAACGAACTACATCTAATGGTTAATAACGATACTTTTGGATAATCTTAATGAAAATGTATAAATATTACATATATACTTTATTTAAGTGTATTAAATTTTCGTAATCCTAAAGCACGTAAGTTTGGAGCGCGACACTGTACGGGTGCGAAATATAGACGGTGAGCGTTGCGGAAAAGAAAAGGTGAGAAGCGTTCGAAATGAGTTGTTACAGGCAAATGATGAGGATACCGTAGGTAGAAAATGAAAAGGTATTGGAAAGAATAGAAGAACAGAGGACTCTATGGAAGTCAATAAGAAATAGGGGAGATATGTTGGCAGGACACTTTCTCACGCGTGAAGATCTAGTCAGAGACATATTAGAAACAGAAACGGGAGTTAGGAGGGGTAAAAGTAAACCTAGATTAGATTACTGTACGCAAATTGTTAAGGATATGGGTTGTTCTAGTTTTAGGGAAATGCGAAGATTAGCTCAGGATAGAAAAGAGTGGAGTGCGTGTCCAACCAGTCTTAGCACTGACGACTTTATCATGATGAAAGCGTGTCTGATATTTTATATTTCTTACGTTCACATACACTGAAGGGAATTTTCCAAAGTGTAATAATAGGAACATGTGTAAAAGTAAGTAAAAATGAGAAAAACGTTTAGTAGACATACAGAATTTTCAAGATACCAATTACTACATTTTTATAAGATTGTGTGGACCAATTGCTCATCGACTTACACCACGTACTCTCTTTCATATCGATAAGCAAGTGTGAACCCAGGAAAAAGTGTCATTTGATAGAAAGTTCATTTTAGAGCATTTTCTGTTAGTTATTTTAAAATATCAGCTTCACCATTCTCGTTTACATTCCCAGTTCTATAGATAAATGGCCTCTTTTTTATATATTTCAAACGGCGACTTTAAAATCTACTGTTGTTAACTTCAATCAATTAGTAATCAGATATGGTAGACCATTAGGCATTTTACCCTATTTCATTAATTACGATTAGTAAGGTTGGCGCTAAACCCGAGCGTGTAGTGAGATGGAGAGCCCCCTCCCCCTTCACTTACATTTTGAGAATTTTTTTAAAAATTCTCATCACGTGGCTTGTATTACCTGTACTAGCATGCCCTTCCGCCGGTCGTGATTAGGACCAAATTATAAGTTAACGGTTTACCAACAAATAGGGCAACTTTAAAATATTCTAGAATTGCATCCATCACAAATTTGAAGTTCAGTTTGGAATAAATATAATTCCCATATGTCAAACAAATAACTATGAATAAATGATTTATTCTAAATAATAATTATAAAAAAAAGGTCATCATCATCATCATAAGGTCGTCCTAAGACTGGTTGGACATGTACCTCCACTCTTTCCTATCCTGAGCTAAACTTCGCATTTCCCCAAAACTAGAACAACTCACATCCTTAACTATTTGCAAACAGTAATCTAATCTAGGTCTACCTCTACCCCTCCTAACTCCTGTTTCTGCCTCTAATATGTCTCTGACTAGACCTTCATACCTGAGAAAGTGTCCTGCCAACCTAACTCGCCTATTTGTTATTGACTTCCATAGAGTCCTCTGTTTTCCTATTCTTTCTAATACCTTTTCATTTCTAACCTTTTCTATCCACGTTATCCCCATCATTCGCCTACAATACCACATTTCGAACGCTTCTAACCTTTTCTTTTCCGCCGCGCCCACTGTTCAAGAGACCAGAACATAAAAATAAATAAATAATGAAGTATTCACCATCAGATACACCATTTCTATTAGAAATCCAGATAATTGCAAAAGTTCCTGTTTTCAGAAATGAAACTTCGGAAATTTACCAGACTGCTTATTATTGACTTACTGGCAAGTTTGTTATTAATAAATGATTGAAATATTTTTATTCTTTCGTTATGGAACAAATGAGGAAACTTGGAACTTTATTAATTTTAGAAAGAAAAGTTACTTTTAACCTACTGTCTTTCTTAATAATTTTATTCAAAAGAAATAATATTTGGTTTCGATAAATTGATAGTGACCAAGAACTTGTAGGTACTGTTCTTCTATAAAAAAAAATATATATTAAACAACCTTTTCTTATAGCCTCAAACAATTTCGTAATTGTGTTTAAAGGATTTCACTTTCTCAAAATCAGTAAGATATGGAGGAACAAGAATTGTTTTTTGTTTTGTTTCTAAAAATGGTTTTCCATTTTTTTACTTTTTTAACTTTCAATCTCAGTGAAATTTCGTCGCAAAAAAATAAAACAATGAACCTATACAAGTATCCAATTCTAGCAGTGTACCCGAACGTAAATTGAATAATTTTTTACCAAAAAAATTGAATAAGTGCTATAGGTAAATTGGTACTTACTTGCTTCAAGATTGATAAGGCATGAAAATAATAAAGCTATTAATACGCCAGTAATTAATGTTGAAAATCGGTGTGCCATTCTTTATTTTCAAAACCACAAAAAATTATTCACTCTGTTTTTCCACATTACAAATCGGTAGAGTTTATTAGAATAAATTCCTTTGGGAAGTAACTGTTCATTATTAAAGTTTTACGTAGAAATGAATTTCGATTGTTCACTCTTGCTTCATCCATGTTCTCTTAGTTTTGTTTTTCAAAAACTGAAAGAAACAGTTGCCTACTTCTTATTAATTATTTAACTTTACTATCAAATCGAAAATCTTCAATGTTATTAAGATGGTTCTAAGTTTCAATTGAAAATGGTAAAATGCTTATGTTAAATATGTTAAAAAAAATTACTCTGTGACTAAAATATTTCTTTAGCTAAAGGATTCGAGAAAATAATTATTTAGATTAAAGTCTTCCATATAACCATAAAAGTATTAAAATCTGAATATTATATAACGCATAAAAAACCCGTATGCATGGGCGAGTAAACTTAATTAAAGTCTAATTTCAAATGAATGTTTCCTTCCAAATATCGGAAGTAGAAAACGAAAAATTGCTTAGTAAATTGTGACCTTTTCCGTTAATGAAATTAAAACGACTCTTTATCATGCGAAAACAAGTATCTATAAAGAACAATTATTCTTAAGAAAAGGGTTAGAACAGTATATTTAATCGTATTAATCCTGGAACAGTAAAATAGGCAACTATTTCTTATGAATATCTCTCACAAAAACCGCTTAGGCATTACATTAAAAGTTTTTGCAAAACTATTAGAAAACTTTTTGTGACTTCACCACTTAATTTATCAAAACATTATTCGCACCCACTTTATAACTACCAAAGACTACCAGTTCAGTTTCTGTTTGACGTTATTCGCGTTATAAATTTTCGCGTAATATTTAAAGGAAGCGCACAATTTTCCACGTAATAGACGTATTTCCGTAGTGAGAAGAGAGAGAATACAAAGCACACCCCGTAGACCGTCACGGTGTGCTTGGCGCGATAGGCGAATTATTGAAATCGGGTCTGAGGGCTACGCGGTCCAATCCTGCGCAGGACGCTATTTTGCTTTCCTATCATCCTGCTGCATTTCCTTCTAGCACAGTAATAATAGGTACGACGAAAGAAACGGCTTCCACCTTTTTTAGCTATTACGAACAAAAATATACTTGGAATAATAACAAAGAGACTCGCCCCGATTATACACCACAAACTTTTTTAAAAAGCAGACAGTGTCGAGTTGATAATGCGCACAATAAAAGTACCATTTTCAAAGAAGTTTTGCGGCATATAGGGGCAAGTCTCTTTGATATTATTCTATTTATTCCACCGCACTCTCCTATACTATCGTATTTCTTTTGAAAAATATACAGTACAACCTCGATAATCCAAACTAGTTATTGTAAAGGATTGTTCGGATTATCAAAGTTTAATCGTCTGTAGCTCCGGACTTTAAACTTTTGAAAATATCAATTTTACAGTATGTTTGCATTTTTTTGTGCCATTTTATAGCTGTTAACGTAATCGTAAGACCGATGTAAGATGTAATGTCTCTAGTAGCCGCTTCTCGAGTGAGGTGACGTTGGCACGTATGCGCTATTCGAACTTGTACAAGTTATCAAGGTTTGTACGGATTATCACTTCAAATGTTTACTGTTCAGATTAGCGGAGGTTCGGATTAACACATGTTAACCCTAGACAAAAATTTTCAGTTTCTCCTGTCTGTCAGAGTCTTTCAGCGTCTCTCACAGTCTTTCACAGTCTCTCAGTTATTGCCTAGGTGTTTTGATGGATCTCCCACAGTTTCTGTATGAGAGACTCGAACGATAAAATTGTTAATTCAGAGTTTCAAGTCTCTCATAAAGAGACTGAATGAATAAAACTGAAAAATTGAGAGACTCGAGTCTCTCGTAGAAAGACTGGGATCTCTGAAATATGTTAAACTTAAAAAATTTTAACCATGTTTATCGAAACAATACTTATTGAGAGATTCGAGTCTCTCGTTCAGAGATTCGCGTCTCTCATTCAGACTGGATACGAAATGAGGATCATTCTATGAGCGACTCGACTCTCTCGTTCAAAGACGCTAAACAGTTTTTTTGACAGCCTGCCTACACAATCCCAACCCCGACCACCATCTCTGTATCTCGGCCTCTCGAAATACTCGTTATTTAAATAAGAAGTAAATACTTCAATAATTTCGTCAATTAATTAAACGTAAGTGTATACATGTATATATATAAAGTTGAATATGTTGTTTACACTTTGCCATTGTTTCCTTTGTTAATATCTAGAAACAAAGTCTCTGTGACTTTGAAAAGAAATTTTTCTTTGCTCTCTGTTGACGTCACAGACTTTTATCTCATGGAAATTCCTTGTCAAAGAAGCAGCAATTCAAATGCGCAATCAGATTAAAAAAAAAGAAAATTAACGGAGATATCTTTATTTGTTTATAAATAAAAACGTATCAAAACAATTTTATTTATTAAAATCTATTTGTTCAATTACGTACTTGGAAAAAAAACTATCGAATGTCTCAAACAAAATTGCCTCAACTTTTGCCAAATCTATGGAAATTAACATTAACAATTTAATAATTTTTAGTGCAAAATAGAATATTTTGGAAAGTATAACTCGGATTAAGTTGCTTTTTATTTTGATTTGCTTACTTCAAAAAGAGTTAAAAATTATAATGAGTATCATCAATACAACGGTTGTTTTAACAAATTTATTAACAATTGAAATATTGGTTATTTTTAACTGTTTTTTAAACATACATTACTCAGCAGCTACTGATCCAGTTTTGAATCTTTAATATGTGTTTTGTAGAGAATTTAAAACCCTGCAAATTTTGCATTAAAAACTTTCCTGTAAAATGTATATTTTTTTTGTATTCAACGATAAACCTATTTCGCGTGTCTTCAGACTCAATTTAGCAACAATTCAAACCAAAATGTTTGGATAATTCGCAGATATTCTTCATCTATATACTTTTCTCGAAATTTTTAGGTAGGTCTTACACAGGGTAACATTTAGTTTTGTTTTGGTATATTTTTTTAGATAATTTGAGTGGTCTACGAACATTTTTGTTCATAGAAATATATGTTATCTATTAATCATTCAGAATTCCTGAGGTAGGACTGATAAGTTCTCGGTAGCAATTTTAATTTTAGAATAAGTGGTAAAGAATGTCGACAGAGATAATTTGTGATGCATGTGTTAGTCATTCTGCGGCTTTTTATTTATTTAAAAGGTAAATTTTGATAGTAGCATTGTCTGTGTAAATATATTACCGTTATTTTTCATTAATATGGATGAGGTTATAAATTTTCTCCTAAATGGGTGCTCACAAAAGAAGGCGTTGAAGAACAACCCTTTGGAGAAATTAAAAGCTGAATAGAAAGCAAATACCTATTGTTATGTTAACTAGACACAAAAACTACAATCAAATATCGCATATTATATTATCCATAACTTCAGCGTTCATTATGAGCATATCATCTATTTATGAGACTGGCTACGGTAAGTCCTCCGTTATTCTCATTTTAAAAATTAAATGAATGGTATCTCTATGAAATAATAAAGTTGGTTTGAGTCAGAGTTCATCATCATCATAAGGCCGTCAATCCTAAGACTGGTTGGACATGCACCTCCACTCTTTCCTGTCCTGAGCTAATCTTCGCATTTCCTTAAAAATAGAACAACCCATATACTTAACTATTTACGAACAGTAATTTAATCTAGATCTACCTCTACCCCTCCTAACTTCATTTTCTACCTCTAAAATATCTCTGACTAGACCTTCATGACTGAGAAGGTGTCTTACTAACCTATCTCGCTTATTTCTTATTGACTTCCATAATGTCCTCTGCTCTCCTATTCTTTCTAATACCACTTCATTTCTAACTTTCTCTATCCACGGTATTCTCATCATTCGCTTGTAACACCACATTTCGAACGCTTCTTACCTTTTTTTTCCGCTGCGCCCACTGTCCATGTTTCGCACCCGTACAACGGCGTGCTCCAAACATACACCTTTAACAACCTTTTTCGAATTTCTAAATTAACCGTTCGCGAGCATAGAAGTGACTTCTTTTTATTAAAGGCGACACGACCCTGCGCTATCCTCTGCTTTNCTTAAAGTTAAAGTTACAAATGGAAGGTATATGGACACTGCCCAAATGAAAACAAGAAATACCTAGTGCCTACAGTACCTTATTTTATTCAAATATTCAATTACATTAGAATTTCAATGCTTACTATCGTTTACTATTTTGGTGTGTCTTATGTAAGATTTCATTAACATCTGAATTTTTTTTTTTTAACATGAAGCCACTGAAGTGTAAGCAGTTAAGAAATATTGACAGCAGTATACTCGGAATAGACTCAGAATAGCACCATTATAGAACTGAAGCTTTAATGTATTCCACTAGATCGCCACTTAGAAAGAAATGTAGGCGATATCATCGGTGCCGTAGTCGTAAAATCTCCAAAATAATGCCCTCTCCCGAAAATGCATAATAGATTTCTATCAGATTTGGAACAATAGTACGAAGTTGTTCAGTTGAAGTAAGCATACTTTTAGGCTGCACAAAAACTATCAACTAAAAATGTTAGTCCAGCCTCCCCGGCCTTTTTTTCTGACTGCGACGCATTACTTTACAACTATTTTACTACAATATTTACGAAATTACTTTTTTCTATGCTAACTATATTTGTGTTATAACCATTTGGAGATGAAGACAGAAAAAATTAACGTCAATAACACTGTGCAGTTGAGATATGGTAAAATTCAAACAAATATTACTACTTTGATGTATTCTGGTCTTTTTATGAAATAGCCTTAGTACTATTAGCTCAATAAACCGAATATTAAATTCTAAATTGCTCCTCATTCTATTAGACTATCAACAACTAGTGACAAGCCGTCACAATGGTGTGCAAAGTCTCCGTCACTACCGCACCACCTAAGTGCTCACGATAATACTATTCTAGTTCGTAATTCGCACTGTTTATTTATATTACTCCTCCGCTGTTCAAATACTGACTGATTTCGATTATCGTCCAGAAGCCTATTATATTATGTTACCACAAAATTTCTCTGAAATAGTCTCCATTATTCATCTCGAGAATTGTGAGGTTTCGCTTGTTAAGCTGCGAATATGTGTCACTCAGGGTTCCTCGGAGTCTTTAGTAGAAGGATGCGGGCAAATCAATGTATTAGTTAACACCTCCATACTTGTATGAAAAAGTGCCTCCTCCTTAAGGATTATTCATGTCATAGATGCTATTCATCCTGGCCACCAGCTATTTACATGTGGGAACATACTTTCTCATGGATATCATCATTTTAGAAGTTCAGTAACGTAATGTCGTGGATCGACGGTCGATATGCCATGAGAAACAATGGCAGATAACGATTCCTGACTTTCTGATGTTTGGAGAATATCTTGGAGAAGTATTTGTTAATGATAATGTTTGAGTATACAAAGGTGTAATCCGAATTTTGTGAAGGCTCAATATCTTGCAAATGTCCTGAAAATTCAGGCCCTGGTCAGAATGGAAGTCGATTGGAATTCCGAATTGGCTAATCTGGTGTTTGACGAGCCTTTCCGCTATTGAAGTGGTTGTCTGGTTGGGAAGGTGTGCACCTCCACACATTTCGAAATCCATTGCTACTACAATGTACCTTTTTCTATCATCAGTTTCCGGGAACGGTTCTGCTAGCTATGGTAATTCTCCCAAATGGACAATTAATGGAGAATTCACGTGCGGCTGCTTACCATGTCATGGCAAATCTCCTCTATCAGACGGATTGGTCCCAGGAAGCCACAGGTTCCGGCCTATCTACACCCTAGGCGTTCAATGCATGGACTACACAACGAACTTTAAGAGCCGCAGCACAGCCCCTTACCAAGTATGCAGGCTGTACCCAACTGCCACCTCGAGTCCAACACCAA